GCCATTTGCAAGAGAATCACCTACAAGAGAGCAGGGACCCAGAAATGGGAAGCAGATTTAGATCTTGCTCTGCGACTCCCTTGGTCTGTGACTAGGGCAAAGCACCTAACCTTTCTGAACCTCAGCTTCCTTGATAAATCTGTAGAATGGTGATAATGACCTTGCTTACTTCATAGTATTGTTCAGAGGCACAGAGGATACAGAAGCAAAATTCTTGTCCTTAAACTGCCTTGAAGCCTAACAAGGGAGGTGGACAAGCACACACACTGTATGATCTGTACCAGCCAGGAGGCTTGTTTGGGGTGCAAATAGTGAGCAGAGTGGAGGCAAACGAGTTCTATCTAATAATGGGAATCTGTAGAGCTGCCATGGGGTTGGGAGCATGGAAGCAACTTTCCAGGGCTTTGGACTGGTGCTTGTTGAACACCAGACACTATCTATGTTAAATATTTTACCCATGGGGCACCTGGGTGGCTCAGATGGTTAAGCGTCTGCCTTCGGCTCAGGTCATGATCCCAGGGTCCTGGGATGGAGTCCCGCATCGGGCTCCCTGCTAGGCGGGGAGCCTGCTTCTCTCCCTCTGCCTCTGCCTCTCTCTCTCTCTCTCTGACTTTCATGAATAAATAAATAAATTAATTAATTTAAAAAATACATAAATAAAAATAAATATTTTACCCATGTTTTCTTTAGTCCTCACAACGAGCCTATGAGATAGGTTTAATCATCCCCATTTTATAGATAAGCAAACTGAGGGTCAGAAAGGATCATGCACTGCCTTGGCATAGTATTAATTGAGCATCTACTACATGTTAAGTGTTGCAGATATAACAGTACACAGAACAGACCCAAGTTCCCTGCTTCTGGAGCTTGTATTCCATAGGTGAATTCACTTGCCCAAAATGGGACTGGAATGTGCCAGAGCTGGGACTCAAACCCAGGTCTGGTGGCCTCCTGGTCTTGTGCTTTTCCCACCTCACCCCAGAAGTCCCTGCTCCCCAGGACACTCCTCTCATGTGGGGCACAGACTGCCCCTGCCAGCCCTTCTGGGGAATTCGGGGATTCTGGAGCAAGGCTGGGTCAGAGAGAGGAGAGGAGTTGCTATTTCTATAGAACCCTCTGTGTCCCCAGCCCTCCCTGGCAGCCCTGCCCCCCAAAAGGCTGAATGCCTGACCACTTGGATATTTTCCCCAGGAAGGGATGGAAAGGGGGAGCTTCCCCAGGGAGATTTCAAGGGAAGATGGAGGTGCTCTTTATGCTCCTGTCAGAGGGAGACGCCCTCTTCCTGGCTCAGGTGGGGAATCCCTTTGGATTTCACTGGGTTTAAGAGAGGGGCCTATTGTTTTCCTATTGTTTAGGTCCTCAAGGGAGGAAAATTCAGGACCAGGGTATATCTAAGGATAAAATCAGCCTCTGGCATCTGAGTGAAGTCCGGCTCCTTGGTACAAGGCTCAGCTCTGCTCTTCCTCTGTCCTCAGCTTCAGACTGCTTCTTGATGCCATGAGACCCGAGACACTCCCACTGGGCAGCGACGGTTTCCTCGACCCCAAGAAAACAATCAGGGATTTGCAAACCTACCCCACTAAGAAGAAAAGATGCAGGATTGTTTATTATTGCATTTACTCCTAGTGGCAGTCCCTTGGAAACAATCTAAATGGCCAATGTTTGGGGTTTAAATAAAGTATGGTAAAAGTATGCATTCAGTAGAATACTGTGCGGTCATTAAAATCATCACGTGGAAGAAAATTAAAGGGCATCAGAAGAGTGCTTATGATAGGTTCAGTCAAAATTCATGACTAAAACAGTGTACACAGAACAGAATGGACAACCCAATCTCGTTTTTTTCAAGATATATTTATTTGAGAGAGTGAGAGAGAGAGAGAGCGAGAGCGTGCATGTGAGTGTGGGGAGGGGTAGAGGGAGAGAAGCAGACTCCACACTGAGGGCAGAGCCCCACTCGACTCCAACCCCACTGACGCTGGATCTTGACCCCGAGATCATGACCTGAGCTGAAATCAAGAGTCAACGCTCAACTGACTGAGCCACCCAGGCGCCCCACCCCGATCTCATTTTTAAAAACTCTGTATATATGCATAGAAAAATGTCTACAAAGATGCATACCAAGTGTGAGCAGTAGTCGCCTCTGGGTAGTAGAATTGTAAATGATTTTTTTTTCCTCCTCTTTTCAATATTTTCCAATTCCTTCAGTGAAAATGCATGTTTCTTGTAATCACGGAGAGAAAATCCCACGGTATATATTAAAGAGAGAAGAGGAAGAGAATGTGTCCTTTTGGCACTGTACTTAGATGACCGCAGGCCCCGGCCAGCTCTGGGAGACTTGGAAGCCCGAGAGTGATGGGGCAGGGGCCGGCGTGTGCAGAACTAGCCCGGGCACCGACTCCCAGACAGCCCACCTGACCCCACAGCCTGGCCGAAGGAGGCCCCTCCCACACTTTTCTCCCCCTCCCACCCCATCTCCTCGTCTTCGCTTCCTTTGTCGGCATCTGTCTCTCAGCGATCACCTCCTCCACGAGGCAGGCTCCATTGCCTATCCTGTTCCCTCTGACTTCCCATCGGGAGAAGGGGCCCGAGTGAGATCTTGGTCTGCAAGCAGCAGAGGACATACTCAGCTGCCCCAAGCTCTGGGCATTGATCCTAAAGCGACAGGGGCCAGTGAGAAAATGGGAACTCCTTCATGGAAGTCTAGAAAGGGGCAGATAGCTGGCTCACGGGACCAGACGCTGGCTGAAGCTCAGCAGCCTGCAGACCCAGGTCCGGCTTGGTAACCACGGCTGCCACTGACGCGGGCTGTGGAGATGTGAGCTTGGTGCGCCACGTTTTATACAGGAGGGAAGTGCAGGGAGAAGCAGTTAATCTGATCATCCCTTCCCGCTTCGCTCCCAGGGCTCACTCTGCCGCCAGGCTGATGCCTTCAGCTCTTCTCTTTTGAACCTGTTGCAGTCAGGTTGTCATCCCAACCCTTCCACTGAATCTGCCCTTGACCAAGATCACCTGGGACTCTAAGATGCCAAATTCGGTGATTAATTCTGTGTCCTCACACGACTTGACCTATCACAGTGGATTGCTCCATCCTCCTTGAAACCCTTTCTCCTGGTTTCCCTCCTGTTGTACTTGCTACTCCTTCTCAGTCTCCTTTACTGTCTCTCAGTCCTTAGGCAGTTTCCCTATTGACAGTCACCCCCTTGGTGACCTCATCCCTTGTCATTGCTTTAAAGAGCTACATGCTGAGCACTTGCAAATCTTCATGTCTAGCCTGGACCTCTCCCCTGAACTCATATATCCACCTGCCTACAGGCCTCTCCAGCTGAGTGTCTAAAAGGCATCTCCTACTTAACATGTCCAAAAGTAAGTTCCTTATCTTCCCCCCAAACATGCTCCATCAGCATGGAGATAATGCAAGCCAGATAGTGGCAATTCTAGTCTCCTATTGGCTCAAGCCAAAAATCTCAGAGTCCTGTTTGAATTATTTATTTCAAATCCACTTCTAATCTGTCAGTGAATCCTGTTGGCTCTACTTTCTAGAATCTGACCATATATTAATACCTCCGTGCTGCCTCACTAGTCCAAGCCACTGTCATCTCTTGCCAGAATTTCTGCAGTAGCCTCCTAACTGGTTCTACCTGTGCTCCCCAATTTATTCTCAACAAAGCGTCCTGAGTGATACTGGTTTTTTTTTAAGAGGTGGGGGAGGGGCAGAGGGAGAGGGAGAGAGAATCTTAAGCAGGCTCCATGCCCAGCGTGGAACCTGACACAGGGATGGATCTCACGACCCTGAGATCATGACCTGAGCTGAAATCAAGAGTCAGATGCTTAACCAGCTGAGCCACCCAGGCGCCCATAGAGTGATATTGTTAAGATGTGAGTCACATCATACCACTTTTCTGTGTAAAACTCTCTAGTGGCTTCCATCTGAGTCAAAGCTCAAGTTCACACAAGGGTCTTCTTTTGGTGCCATGCATGCTCAGAACCTCACTGCCTCTCTCATCCCCTCTCTTACGTCCCCTTCACTCACTCTGCTCTGGCCACACCACCCTCCCCAATGATCTTTACCACGTCAGGCAGCCTCTTTCACCTCTGGGACTTTGCACATGCTGTTCCCTCCACCTGGAAAGTTTCTTCCCCATTAAATGTCAGGGTTCACGCCCTCATTTCTTTCAGGTCTTTGTTCATAATTCACTTTCCCTGGCTATACTATTTAGAATTTCGGTACTCCTGCCCACCTGCTCCAACACTCCCTTCCCCTGTCTCCTGTTTGTTTCTTCCTCCAGAACACTTTCCTCTTCTGACTCCTATATATTGTATGTTTTTCTTTCTCTGATTGTTGGTCTCCCCTTGTAGAATGCAAGCTCCATGAGGGCAGGGTTTTTGTCTCTTTTGTCTACTGCTGTATCTCCAGAGCCTGTGGACAGTGCCTGGCATGTAGTTGGTGTTCAGTAAATACCTGGTGAATGGCTCTATGACTCAAAATACATGAAAGAATGATCTACTGTTTATAAAAGACCTTGAGACATGGGGGCACCTGGGTGGCTCAGTCGGTTAAGCGTCTGCCTTCGGCTCAGGTCATGATCCCGGGGTCCTGGGATCGAGCCCCACATCGGGCTCCCTGCTCTGTGGAGAGCCTGCTTCTCCCTCTTCCACTCTCCCTGCTTGTACTCTCTCTCTCTCAATAAATAAAATCTTAAAAAAAAAAAAAAAAAGACCTTGAGACATGGTGGAAAGAGCCCTGGGGTTACTGCCAGCATAGGAGCATGAATAGACCGAGTGAGAAAGAAATGCCCCCAGTGGAGAATGTCCGTGTGTGGAAGTCATAGTGCCCGCATCTGACACGGGCCAGCATGCCACCAGCTCACACCTCGGTGGTTTCTGAAGAACTCACCACAGATGAGAGGGTCCCCACTTAACTTCCATCCAGGCCTTTTTTTTGCCCCAAGGCCTGCCCTCAGGGCTCTGTCTCAATCACTTACTTTCCTTTTCTTCTCCAGGTGCCAAAATTTACAGCCTGTTGGAGGAAGACAGCATCAAGGTAAGAGAACAATAAGACTGTGTCTAGTTTGGGACTTCCCAACTTACAAGGCCTTGAAAGGTATTCAAGGAAGACCAGGGTGTTGAAAGGGTTGGCACCTGGATGAAGTGAAGGTCCAGGGGACTCGTCTTGACTTCCTGGATAGAGTGTGGGCACTGGGACAGTGAGGACAGCTCAGTATTCAGCAGTGGATCATCAGCGGTGGCTGCAGGGTCTTTAGACCCAAGAAGACTGTGCTTCCTTTGGGAAAACAGGGCAACCTCCCCCAAGCCAGTTGGCTGTGCCCATAGGCTGGCCCTCCTGCTCTGCATTCCCGACTTCCCTCCAGGCCTCTCTCCTTCACCCCTTGCTCTTCTGCCAGACCTGCTGAAGTCAGGGTGTCCTGGGCATTTTTTCTTTTTTAAAGCAAGGATGGTTTGGGTCTAGATCTAGAGAAATACAGGATGTTTCCTGCATAGGGATTCTCTGATTCTGTGTTAAATCACAGTCCAGATTTTAGAGAGTGAAAACACTCAGTAAATAATGGATGTGGGGAATTGTGTAGCTATGTGTACTGCTGATGTAATTTGAAAAGAGGCAGTGTTAAAAATGTGTCCAGCCTTGGACCAAGCAATTCCATTTTCTGGAATTTATCCTAAGAAAATAATCACGGTTGTGCAAAGATATGTGTACAAAGATAATTTGTCACTGCATTGTTTTATAATACAAAAAAAGAAGGAAAGAAAGAAAAGGAAGGAAGGAAGGGAAAGAAAGGAAGGAAGGGAGGAAGGAAGGAAGAAAAGAAAAGAAAAAAGAAAACAGTGGAAAGCCCAAGAAAAAGGAATTGGTCCCTTAAAATCTGGCACATCCACACAAGGGCATGTCATACAGCAGAATGACCTAGGTGTATACTTACAGGCAAGAAAGATGTTTGCATATATTGCTAAGTTAAAGAAAAAAAGGGAAAAAGAAATGTAGAAAGCTCAGCAAACATGCAAAGCAAGTGGCTTGGGACACAGGCTGGAGGGTTGAAATCCAGGTCAGTCTCTTAACCCGTGTGAGAGTCAGGCAAGTGAGATCTCCCTAGGCTCCTACTTCTTTCCAGTAAAATGGGCATAATAACACAAGTCTCGCAGAGTTGCAAGAATTGGTAGGCATTAACACATCTAAAGGCCTGGGCACAGGGTCCCGCCTGTGTTGAGTGCTCAGCAGATGGGTCCCCAGATGAGGTGCAAACCAGTAGTATTTCTACTTGTGTATAAGCCTGGACACGTTCTAGAAATTCATAGTCAAGTAGTGGTTTTATTTGGCTGGTAGAATGGTGGGTGATTTTCAAAATTTTCTTATTTTTCTACAAGGAATACATGTTACTTATTTTCATCGTGATGTAATTTTTAAAAGGAAGTAACAATTGAAAAGGTTAAAAGAAAAAAAAAAAACCTGCTGGGCATTTGGCAGGCAAACCAACTGTGCAGCCCCCAGGGCAGGGGAGGATGGGGGGAGGCAGGAAGGAGGGGAAGAGGAAGGGCAGTGGGTGAAAGAAAGAACTGGAAGGTAAGGCTCAAGCCCCTACAGGCATGTTCCCCACTCTGGCCCCTCCTGGGGAGCTCCTGGCAGGAGACATGGTGACTCAAGGCCCATCTGTCCTGGGAGATGAGGATGAGTGTGTGCAGCCCCCTCTGGCAGCTGAGCACATCAGCGGAGGGGCCCTGGGCCTTCAGAAACCCAGCATCTTGTCCAGGCCCAGAGTAGGAGAGGCAGGAAGTCCTAGTGAATCCCTCAGTTCCTCCAAGGATGACCAGCTCCTCTCTTCTTTGGCTCCCTGGCCGGATCCACACTCAAGAGCAGGGTCTCCCAAGCCAATACAGCCAGCTGGGAAAGGGAGCCAGCTCCGGCCGCGCCCCCACCCCACGCACCAACTGCCTTCCCTGGCCAATGAGGTTGGGAGAAACTCCCCCATGTTAACGGGGTGCCAATTTATTGAGCATTCTTGGGGCATGGCTCATCCATGCAAGTGACTTCTCCAAATAATCAAACTTAATCCCATTGCATTGCAATTTTTTTTTAAGATTTTATTTATTCATTCATGAGAGACAGAGAGAGAGAGAGAGAGAGGCAGAGGGAGAAGCAGGCTCCCAAGGAGCAGGGAGCCCGATGTGGGACTCGATCCCAGGACCCTGGGATCATGACCTGAGCCGAAGGCAGACGCTTAACCGTCTGAGCCACCCAGGTGCCCTGCATTGCAATTTTTAACTGTACTCATTTTAAATTAATTTCTGTTTTATCACATTGATCAAAATAATGCCTGCATATGGTTTCAACAGTACGAGAGGCTCATAATAAAAACCCCCTCCCTTAGCTTCCTCAGTCCCGCTCTCTCTGGAGGTAGCCTCTTCTTTCAACTCTTTCATTAGTTTCTATTTCTGCTTATATTGTTATTTCTTGATTTACCAATTTTAGACATCTGTTCACTTCTTGGGGGAGACAAGAATTGAGCTTTCCTACAAAGCCACTTCCAGTTCTCCCCCCCCCCCATTTCCCAGTAAGAATATAACCCAGTAGTGAATGTAGAGGTATTCTTCACTGCTGAGCTAAGTAGTGTGTTGTGTGTCCTTGAGCGCTGGAGGAAAAAAATTCTGCATCTTTGATAATTTTCTCCCCTTTATTTTACCCGTTGGACCTACTGGATTTACTCGTTCTGATTTTCTTGTATTTTCTCTATTTCCCTGCCCTTTGCCCTTGGGTCTCCTTTCTTGGGCAACTTGACTTGACTTTATCCTCCAACCCTGCTGCTGGTGTTGTTTTAATTTTGGCTTTCATATTTTTAATATACAATTATTCATTCTTGTCTTCCATGCCTTTTTTCATAGGACCATATTCTTGTTTTATCGATATACCCTTGCCCTCTTACCTTTCTGAAGAGGCATTGTTTATTTTTCTTCTATTTGTTTTGTTTTAATATTCTTCTATTCTCTTTTATTATCTTTGTTTCCACCTAGCTGCCTTTTGCATGTTTGTTTTCTCTCTTTCATGTTGGAGGCTTTTCTCGAATGCCAAATATCCTGGCTGTCTGTTGATACTTATGAATGAAGCAATAAAAACCTGAATTAAACTGTATGTTTGGGGACAACATATCAGCTGGGGTTTTGCTACAGGGAGCAAGCCAGTCTTTTCGTTAACAAGCCTCTAAATGTCAGACTCTGTTCTCTAGAGCTAGGTTTCTCAACCTTGGTGCTATTGATATTTTAGTACAGATAATTGCTTGTTGTCAGGGGCTCTTGTGCCTTTCCTAGACTTGTGATAACCAAAAATGTCTATAAACATTGCCAAATGTCCCCTGGGGGGCAAGATCACCCCATTGAGAACCACTACTTAAGCCATTCCCCTTCTCAAGAGAAGCATTCTGACTCCTTGTTCCCGTTACTTATTACTGCATAACAAACCACCCCAGAACTTAGCAGCATAAACAACAGCCATTTTATTATTCTACAAGTCAGGAATTCAGAAAAGGCACAGCTCCACAATGTCTGGAGCCCAGGTTGGGGTGACGGAAATGACCAAAGGCTCAAGTGGCTGGGATTTGGACCAGCTGGAGCTGAAGGATCCACTTCCCAGATGGTTCTTCACTTGGCAGGGATAGCCGGAAGCCGGGGCTCAGCTGGGACTGGTGATCGGAGAGACGGCACACGGCGTCTCTAGCATCCAGCCCGGTAGTTGGATCTCTGATGTGGTAGCTCAGAGCTCCAGTGTGAATGCTCCAGCCAGCAATATGGGCCCTGCATGGTCTTTTATGGCCTGGTCTTGGAAGTCACATGGCATCACTTACCACTGTAGTCACAAGGCCCACCCACCGTCAGGGAAGGAGACCGACACCCACTTCTCAATGGAAGATGTGTCCAAAAAATTTGCAGCCATGTTTTAAATTCCCCACACTCCAGAACAGGGTGATATATGCCTGGGGCAGGGTGGGGTGTGAGGCATGGAGACCTTGAAGCTCACTGTTCAGTCTTCAGACTTTGCCCTCGTCCCCCATTTGCATCCTTGCATTCATCCGCCGTCTCTTCTGCCTCCATCTCTCCTGTTCAGGATCTTTAGTCTTGTGCTTCGTGGGGCAGAGCGTGGGGTGGGTCCGAGAAGGACTTCCCTGATTCCTTACCCCACTGCCTCCTATGCCTGACCCCCACCATCATAATCCCAAATTTCCCTGAGGTCTGAGCTCCTCCAGGGTCCCGGGGGTGAAGGGGCTGGCCTCCTGTCAGCATCCCTGTCCGCAGGCCCTAGGAGACTAGCTTCCTCCATGGCAGCCATCATTCCTCCATCTGCTTTCCAGCTTCCTGGAGTCTACTCAAATCTCATCCACCCATGTCTCCTTCACCATTCTCTTTGCTCTTGAGGGTTGATACCGTTTTCTTCCTTTTTTCTTTCTTTTTTAATTTGTTATTTATTTTTTAAGTTTTTATTTAAATTCCAGTCAGGTAACATATGGTGTGATATTAGTTTCAGGTGTACAATATAGTGACTCAACACTTCCATAAGTCACTCCATGCTCATCACAAGTGCCCTCCTTAATCCCCATCACCTGTTTCACTCCTCTCCCCAGTATACATTTTATCTCCTGACTGGCATTTCAGTGGCACTTCAGGAGAGAAAGAAGACGGGGACATGTGAGTGACCTGATGTCTTTAACTGGAAGCCCTGTCGTGCTTCTTTAGGAAGGAGGCACATCTCTCAAGTGTGTTATGATCTTCCCTGCCCAGTTAAAGCTCTGTTAAGTAGTGCAGTGGCTGCATTTAACCCTTGGCTGGTAATTCAGAGTCATCTTTATGAGTGTACATGTTTACCTTGGAATTATGAAGCTAAGTAGAGCAATTTGTCCCTCCACGATGGGGACTGGGATCACGGTGCTAAAACCCCGTAAGCCTTTCCTCATGGTCGTCTCTGTCTCGGGCCGCCTCTCGTCCCATTCATTTGTGGGGACGGTGACACATTACATCACATTAACTTCCAATCTACTCCTCCTGAAGTGACTAAACCAGACGACTGTGCAGGGTATCCCCGCCACTGCCCTGTCCCCACCCATTTCCTACCCTTCCTCACTCCTTCCCACATTTGACGTTCATGGATTGCATCAACCAGGCTCCATGGCGTCTTGCTTCCAGGTGGGCTTGGCCAACGGAAGACCCCTTCAGCAGATTGGAGAATAATGGCGGGGTGCTTTAGGGTGCTTTATCCCCCTAGTTCCCTCTCTTGCTACGCCTCGGGTCAGCAGGGTCTGTGTTCTTCTCCCTAAAGCCACAAGCCCTACAGCAGCCCTCTCCTCCAGCCCTGCATAGGTTGCTCTAACCTCTCCCTTGCCCTCCTCCCTTCAGGCTGCGGGTACCAGCTCCCCCATGTTGCTGGCTCAGAGGGCTTCTCTTGCCCTTGTCCTTTCCCTTCGTGTTGCTCACCCTGTACACAGTCCTTCCTTGAGCTCTCCTTGGTTACTTGTGCAGCATGCATCTGTTTCCCACTGGGACTCTGACGATACAGAAACTTTTTCTCATTTGCATCTAAAACAAGAATAGTCCCTGAGAGAAACCCTCCCAGTTCTTTGTATGAGCTTTGTGACATCTCTGGACTACACAGGGGCTTTTAAAAAATTCACTTTCGAGTTTTTAACTATAATGCAAGATAGAAGGTACTGGATTAGTGACTTCTCCATATGGGGGAATATTACTTACTGGTGTTTTGAGGAGGAAAATAAGCCTGTCAATAAAAGGAAACCAGGAGACAGAGTATATAATGACTTTCAGAAATCATATGACTGACCAGAAAACATCCACAGTTTCAGAAAATGAAGAAATACCTTCCTGAACAACAGATCCTTCTTGGGTCTTTAAGGTGAAGTGTAGGTTTGGGGGACATCCAGGCCATGTCTGGGTGGGATTCCCCTAGATCTGACATTAGGAATCCCTTAGGTCAAACCCACTAAGCCTGTGTGTTTCCAGCTCAGGGGCCTCCTTGATGCTTTTGCTCTGAGGAGTATCGTGTGCTTGTTCCCTAGATGCGGATAACTCGGAGCCTAGAGAGGCCCACAGCCTAGGCCCTGATCACATCTCAAGCCCAGCTGTCCTCCAGCCACCTCCAAGATCGGCCTGCACGACTCCCCTGCTGGGAACACTCTATGGATTCTCTTGCCTCCTCGCTCTCCCGGCCTTGTCAGACCTCAGTTTTGGTTTAATTTGTGCAGCCCTTTGAAGCACGCGTACCTCTAGGGAAAAAGCAGAATCAAGTACTCTTCTTGGCCACCCATTTCCTGAAGCGTGAAAAGGAAACATTTCATCAGTGCTTTGTCAAGGAGACAACAGGAAGGGGTAGCGGCTCTCTGGCTGGCAGGGCGAGCCGCCTGGTGTTTCACAGAGGAGGGAGGTGAGATGGCACATGGGCGCCGAGGCCCCAGCCAGGGGCAGCATGGACACAGCCCTGGGCACAGTGTCCCACGGGCCACTCCGGCAGAGCCACGAACCCTCAGCCCTCCTGGGCAGGGAGGAAAGGCCTGGGGCATCACCCCCATTGCCCAGGGGGGAGACGAGAGCCAGAGAGGTGGAGAGTGACAGCTTCGGTGGAGAGACACTCCTGTCTTTACACCCTGGCTTCCTTATTCATGCTTCTTTCGCTCCTCGGGATTTTTTTTTTTTTTTTTTTTTAGTTTGGGGAATGGGGACTAGACAGTTGAAGACAGATTTGTTTCTAACCTGGCTACCTTCCAGTGATGTAGCCTTTATCAGTTTAGCTTGTCCTCTTCCAGCCCACGCTATTCTGTGTCCCTCGGCCAAGGGAGCTCAGCCAAGGCCCCCCCAGCGTCCCACCCAGCAGAGTTGCAAGAGGCCCCAGGCCCCTTCCTGTTCACTCCTGCTCTGCAGACATGATGCCATGAGGCAGACATGTAGGGACATGGACACAAGGGGCAGCCTGTGGCTGGATAGTGGAGGGCCCTGAAGGGCTGGGGAAGCTTCTAAGGGAAGCAGAGTCCTTCCCACAGCAGCAGGTTCATGGTCTGTGCACATGGGGGATGAGGCCCGGGAGGGCAGAGCTCCTGGGTAGCACGTAAACCCGTGTCTTGTCTTTTCCCATCCAAGCTGCCTGTTGTGGGCCAGAGTACCCCGGCGGTGGCCATTGCTGGGGTGGCTGCCTCTAACCACAAAGAGAGGAAGGAACATTCTCAGCCTGGGCACTTGAACCCAGCACATTGCCATCCTCAGCAAGATGTTGCAAGTTCCTAATCTGGACCCAGAGGCCAGGGAGTTGAGGTGTCATCTGGAGCCCAGAGTTGACTGTTACCCACAAACACAGACATCCGTGGGGCCTACAACACCCTCTCCCCAGTTGTCACACCCTCAGCAGTGCCTCCGGCCTGGGTGGTATCCTGGGGAAGCCCAGCTGCCACCTCTCTACAAACGGCCCCGCGGCAGCTGTGCCAACAAGCCACTTGCCTGGGGCGGGGCTGGGGTCCACCTTGCTGTCATTTCACACCATTATGGACTGATGCAACCAGCTTTCATCAGACACCACCGGGGAAGAAGCACATTACAACAGCGTGCTCAGCACTTCCCCTGCCCGTGCACAAGGCTTGCTCACCTCAGCCAAGATGGACCTCTTCCCGCCCTGGTATCTCACCCCGCCAGGCTGCGAAGTGCCTTCTGCAGCGGACCAGAGCAGATCGCCTCCTCCCAAGAAATTAAACCAGTGGCTTTCGATCCTGGCGGGGCACCGCCATCATCAAGGATATTAAAAAGATATTGATGCCTGTCCCTCACTCTCACCCCAAAGATACCAACTGAATTGATCCGGGTTAAAAAACAAAAACAAAAACCTAAGTGTGTATTGAAGGATCACATACAGGCAACACCACAAACCTGAGGTGTAAATCTCAGTGAATTTTCACTCAGCGAACCCCGGGTTACCCGAAGTAAGCAGCGTCCAGGTCAAGAAGCAGAACATCACCAACGTCCGCTGGTGCCCTGAAGGGTAACCACCATTCTCACTTCTAAAGGTAGAAATGAGTCTTGCCTGTTTTCAAGCTTTATATTATATAAAGGGAATCATATGGTATTTGGGGTTTTGTGTCTGGTTTCTTCCACTCAACATTGTGTGTGTGAGATTCACGCAAGCTGCTGCTTATAGTTGCTGTAGTCCATTCGTTCTCATTGCTATAGAGTGTTCCACCGTGTGGCTATCACGGTTGCTGGGTATTTGAGTATTTGGGGTTTTGGGGGCGGGTTGGGGTAGTTATGAGCGATGAGCATTCCCGTGGCGTCTTTCGGAGCACATTTGTATGCATGTCCGTTGGGTGCATACTGAGAAGTGGGATTGCCAGGGCAGGTATGGATATGAATGCGTTCAACTTTCGTACCTTGTGCCAAATGATCTCCCAAAGTGGCCATACCCATCTGCACCCCTCCAGCAACGTGTGAGAGTGCTGGTTGCTTCACATCTTTGCTGGCGATTGGTATTTGACATCTTTTTCATGTTAGCCATTCTGGTGGGTTTGTAATGGTATGGCAGTGTGGTTTTAATTTGCATTTCCCTGATGACTAATACAGTTGAGCACCTTTTCATATGTTTCTTAGCCATTTAGATCCCCTCTTTGCAAAGTGCCTGTTGAAGTATTTGGACACGAATATTTTTAAGAAGCTCCTTAGGTGGTTCTTATGTGCAGCCAAGGTTGAAAACCATTGAACTAAACCACAAGTTAGTATCTGCTGCTCTGTTGCTCAATGTCCTGCCCTTGAACTCGGAGTATTTTGGATCTGAGGGAACCTCATGGACCTGGGGAAAGGTAGCCTCCACCCCCCACACCAAGATGGGCCTACCTAGAAGAAGCCAGAGATTGGAGCTGGAGTTTAGGCAGTTGCAACTCTCTGGGAACGTAGCTCCCCTTCCAAAGGGCCCAGAGAGGGCCTGTGGTGTCCGCAGCTGCCACAGACATTTCCTGACCACAAAAATGATCCCTTGCTGATCCCCTCAGAGCCCTAGGCAATCATGTGGAGGAAGTGGAGGGGCCACATGCCAGGTACTTCCCAGTTTCTAGGCCAGCATGAACAGGACACAGCTCATGTGGGGGTTGTGGTCAGCCTGGGGACAGTGGAACATGTGTGACAGGGGCCTGGGTGGGGCTGAGAGAGGCCTGCCATCTGTGGCCTTTCTCCTGGGTGAAAGGGCAGCCAGTGAGGCTCTCCCACGTGGGTCCAAGCCTGGCCAGGTCTAGAGTTCTGCATGTTTGCATAGAGGTCCCCGTTGTTGTTTCTCTCACCTGTGAAGGTCTCCTCTGTCCTCTGCTCCCCACCGTGGGGGCCCTGCTCTGGGACCTTCCCTGGCTACCCCACCCCTACAGGGCCCCCTCACCCTGCTGAGCTCGTGCAGCACTTAGAGTGAGACCATGCAGTGGGGCTTCTGTTTGTACACTGCTTTGTACTGGGTCCAGGCTGCATCATCGGGTTCATCTCATCCCCCACCCTGGACTGCACTCTCACCCCGGGGACTGCTGAGCACCTGTCTCTGCTCCCCAAGAGTGGGTAGAATGGCATTTGGTAACTCAGTGACAACAAGCCCCGACTTGAAAAGGAAGATGCAGTAAAAATACAGACCACACACCAAGTCAGCATTTTCCTTCCCTCAGACTGGAGCTGTGCAGGTGTCAAGCAGAGCTGCCCTTTGTGGGCTCCCTGTTGGCACATGTGCCCCACATCTAGTAGGTGAGGAGCTCTATGCAGTGAGTCCGGAGTCGGACCACCAGCAGGGGACTAGGATGCTGGTGCCTGGCTGGGTGTGCAGAAAGGCCCCTTAGGCAGAGGGGCTCCCAACACCCTGATGGAATTCACCATGGTGTCCAGGGCTTGGAAAGCAGGGGGACAACCTTGTCAGTGCCTGTCCACATGTCCTTTGAAAAGAGCATGGTCCACATTCTGTTGACTAAAGTCCTCTAGCGGTGTGACGTGAGATGGAGGCACATGGGCAAAGTTGACCTTTGGGAGACTGGTGAGCACGGAACCAGCTCTGGACTCCCTGTTGTGCCATGTTCCATGGATTCAGGCCCATCTTGGAAATTACTCTGGACATAGAACCTCTCGTGTCTGGTGGTCTAAGTACAGATCTCGGTGTTCTCTTGATTGGCACAAATGGTAGTCTGCACCAAGCAGCGATCAGAGTGCTATCTGAAGCCTGGGATGGTAATGGGGAGAAGTCCCTCTAGCAGTGCAAGGGTTCCAGTTGCTTCCCATCCTTGCCAACAACTGGCATGTTCTGTCTTTGGCCCTCTGAGTCTCATAAAAAGAGAGACCCCTCTACTTCCCTTGAGCGTGCATCCCAGCCTCTCCCCTTTCACATTCTACTCCACTGGCTGCCATGGTGCAGTGTTTGACGTGCTCCCACCAACATTGTCTGTGTCATGCTTCCCCCCGCCCCTTCCCCATGCAGTCCGCCACGTTGTCTGCCTCTCCCAGCCGAGACTCTGGAAAGAGACAGCGCCTCTCTCCTCCTCCTCCTCAGGACTTACTCAGCAGGTATTCATTTTACCCCGGCCTGTGCTGAGCTTCACACACAAGACCCCTGGCCCTGCTCTCATGAAGCTTCCAGCTGAGGAGGGAGGACAAAGTATTAACAAGGCCTTATGTAATGGCGGTGGGGATAAGCGCTGCCATAGCCCGACAGCATGGGCCACGTCCTCTCTGCACCTGCAAACGCCCGCGTGTCCTTCACGGCCTCAGCCCACGTGTCACCACATCTGTGCCACTTACCCCACCTTGCATCGCCCGACAGGGTAGCCCTTTCGGCCCAGAACAGCCTTGGTTATAACTGCTCTGCACAGAGGATGAAATCCAAGGGCAGAACCCAGATCACACTCCCCTCAGAGTCCCCTGCCCAGCACAGAGCCCTGAGCGCTCATCACAGGTACTTAGTTGATGAATGTAAACTCTCGCCAAGACTGAGCTGAAGTGTGTGAATGTCTCCGTGGGCTGAGAATCATTGCGTGCTTGCTTGCTTTTTTCTTTTTTTTTTTTAAATAGACTTTTGTTTCTTTTTATCATGATGAAAGTAATTTGGATTACGTCATAACAATGTGAATTTACTTAAGAATACTGAACGATATGCTTACAAACGGTTAAGATGGTAAAATTTATGTTACGTGTATTTTACCACACTTTAAAAGAATAGAAAGAATGCAAAGAATAAATACAGACAAGGGGAATAAGAGAGAAAGGTCCATATTATCAAGAAATAAAGGACAAAGGCTTTGATTCAGGATTTGATTCAGACAGAATTAGATTAAAAAATAAGTAATTTGGATTAGGGAAGTGCAAATCAAAACCATAATGAGATATGACTTCATACCCTTTAGGTGTGTGAAAATAACGAGTGTGGGCAAGTGTGAAGAAATTAGAACTCAGTGCATTGCTGGTGGGAATGTAAAATGGTGTAGTTGCTGTGGAAAATGGTATGGTGTTTCCTGAAAAAAATTAAACATAGAGGGGCACCTGGGTGACTCCGCTGGTTGTGTCTGCCTTCGGCTCAGTCATGATCCCAGAGTTCCGGGATCGAGCCCTTCGTCCGTCTGTCCGGCTCCCTGCTCAGTGGGGAGCCTGCTTCTCCCTCTGCCTGCCACTCCCCCTGCTTGTGCTATCTCACTCACTCTTTCTCTCTCTCTCAAATAAATAAATAAAATATTTTTTAAAAATTAAACATAGAGTTACCATATGATCCAGCAAGTCCAATTCTAGAAATATACCCAAAGAATTGAAAGCAGGAACTCAGAGGTGTTTTTATACTCATGTTCATATAAGCATTATTTACAATAGCCAAAAAGGAAAAACAATCCAAATGTCCATTGACAGATGACTGGATAAACAAAATGTAGTATATACACAAAATGGAATATTATTCAGTCTTAAAAAGGAATGAAATTCTCTCACATGGTACAGCATGGATAAACCTTGAAAACATCATGCTAAGAAATGAAATAAGCCGGACACAAAAGGACAAATATTGTATTGCCTCTCATTTATAGGGAGTAGCTAGAGTGGTCAAATGCCTAGAAATAGAGAGTGAAATGGTGGCTGTCAGCGCCCGGTAGTCGGAGGGGGAGAGGGAATCAGTTTGATGAGTTTGGTGTTTATGTTGAGGACGACAGAAAAATATTGGAGCTGAATGGTAGTGACGACTACATGACAATGTGAATGTACTTATCTCCATTAAATTGCACACTTAACACTGGTTGAAATGGGGGCACCTGGCTGGCTTAGTTGGAGGAGCATGTGACTTAATCTCAGGATTATGAGTTCAAGCCCCACCACGGGTGTAGAGATTATTTGAATAAGTAAAACTTTTTATTTATTTATTTATTCATTCATTCATTCATTCATTCATTCATTTATGTTAGAGATTTTATTTATTTATTTGACAGAGAGAGAGACAGTGAGAGCAGGAACACAAGCAGGGGGAGGGGGAGTGGGAGAAGCAGGCTTCCCATGGGGCAGGGAGCCCGATGCGGGGCTCGATCCCAGGACCCTGGGATCATGACCCGAGCTGAAGGCAGACACTTAAAGACTGCGCCACCCAGGTGCCCCTAAATAAAACTTTTTAGAAAAAAATGGTTAAAATGGTAAATTTTATGTGTGTATGTTTTACCACGTTAAAAAGAAAGTAATTTGGGTGTATTATGAACATTTTAGAAACTGTTGGTAAGGGGCGCCTGGGTGGCTCAGTCATTGGGCGTCTGCCTTCGGCTCAGGTCATGATCTCAGGGTCCTGGGATTGAGCCCCGCATCGTGCTCCCTGCTCCTCGGAGAGCTTGTTTCTCCCTCCCCCACTCCCCCTGCTGTGTTCCCTCTCTCGCTGTGTCTCTCTCTGTCAAATAAATAAATAAAACCTTAAAAAAAAAAAAAACTGTTGGTAAGCACAAGGGGAAAAAATTTAAATCATACCAGCTAGAGATAGCTACTGTTAAAATTGAGGTGTGTACCTTTCTATTCCTCTTTCCTTTCTCTCTCTCTCTCT